TTTCTTTTCATTGCTCCTTCACCACAGCTTCAGTTGCCTAAAAGCACAACTTCCTTTTTAGGTTATTTTTGAACACCAAAGTACATGCGCTAAACACCGTTAGCAAGTTTATTGTGAAAACGATCTTTGAAACGTTGTTCCTTCTTCTAATTAGATCATCATTCAAGGATGCCAGAAAGCGATCATTCCGATTCAATACATCAAAAGTTAGTTTCTCATCTCTTCTTCACAAGTTTTGGCCACACGGTTTGACCTTCTAAAACACAAAAACTTCATGACAAGTCCGCGAACTTGGATCACGGCTCTGCAATGCTGACCATTGAACATTACTTTTCTGAATTTCTTTTTATCTAAATATTCAACAACAGTATCAATCAAGGCTGTAACTTCATCGAATTTTTCAGTTGTGATTCACTCCGTGACCGGAAAAGAAAAAAAGACTTTTCACATAGATTTATTCATGTACAAACATTTTTCAGCATCGACAATTTGTCGATAAACCCGCATGAACATGACTTGGGTTCTCAATGGATTGCAAGGTCAAACTAGTCTATGTAACCCCTAAGGGGAGGCAGTTTTGGGGAGTAGGGGGTGGTCAAACCCGAGCCTCCAAAGGAGCGAGACTTGAGTATCACCGGAGGGTCAAAGGGCAGTGGTCAGGTTACTGTAGGAGGGTGAAAGTTCAGTAATTCGTTTCCGTTGCATTTGTTTCATTGTAATCCGAATTCTCCGATGGTGTCGTTGATTGCTCTGTTTCGCGAACTTCGCTGGGCATGTAGCAAAGTCCTTGGAAGCAGGCTGGGGCAGAAGAAGGGCAATCCGAACAGCGGCCTTTGTCACCAGTGGCCCACGTAAAGGCTGGCACCTGCAATATTCACCATTTGTCAATGAGGACTAGAATAGCTTGAATTTTCTAGCACCGCTCGGCAAGTTTCCAGTAATTCACCAAAAAATGTTAGCTTCATGCTAGTAATATCAAGACAACCTTATGTAAAGCGAGAAGCGGACAAGCACTACGGTCACGAAAGTTGAAGGCAGTGTCCAAACAAATCTTTTGTTTGGTAATCCAAGTTGGATAAAGATTGCGATACTCTAGTTGAGCTATCGCCCCAGCCGCAGCTCATTTGATTCATTCGCGGCCGAGATATCTAGCTTTAGGTTCCAGCCCACGCCGTATCTCAGCGCCCTCGAGTACGGTAGTGAGTACGGTCTGGGCTGGAGTTTAAGTTCGAATAGCTCGGCTGCGAATGGATCTTATGAGCTGCCGTTTGGGCAATGCCCTTTCTGACGATTTACAATCAACTCCCACATAAGCCAAGATGCAAATTTGCCTAGACACAGCATTCAACTATGATGCAAAGTTCGCGACGCATATTCACTGTCTCCGTCGCAAACATCTCATCACACAAATCAAGTCAACCGTTACCAACCGCATAAAGCTGTCCGGATCCAGTGACGAATACCGTGTTTCCTTGCGGGTTATAGTGGCAGACGAAAACATTGCGATGTCCTCGACCCCAGAGTCCTTGCACGTC